GGGAGTCAAATGCGTGGGCGCATCCCCCAGACGGGATTGATCAACGCCTCGACACTTGATTCCTTATTATCCTTTAATCCAGTCGTTGAGCTCGAATGAAAATAACATTTTTCAAAACTCTCCACAGCTCTGTAACGACATAACGAATCCCGAATTTATTTAATCAACTTGTAGGGAATAGTTTTCAAGTCGCCTGGAAACTGATAGGGGTTAGATAGGTTTCCACAGTCTAGTTATGAATTCATCAGATTCGCGACTCCCTTGGTGTTCATTGAAAATGCAAGTATTGTTTACTCGACCTGATAATGACCAGAGTCCTTTGCAAAACTGCTAAATAGTCGGTTGTTTTCGTCGACATCTTATCAATCAGACAGCAATTCGTTGGAATAGAACGTTTGCACGCCGTCTGCACGTGAATGTTCGATAATCCTCGAAGTTCAAGATTTGCGAAGGTGAAAAATTCTTTTCGATCATATTCCTTTGGTTGAAACGTTCTTCATATTGCGCCCCCTCTCTTCGAATCTGTCGGTTTTAGCCTTCGCTTCAAAGTCTGTGGTACATCCTCTTTGCTTATTTCTTGGCCACCCACACACTTCCCCTTCCTTTTGGATAGATTATTCATTGAATTAAATTCTCATTATTCCCATTGTTCTCAATCTATACCATTACCCCTTAGGAATCAATGAGGCGAGGGTGTAGTTAAGAAATTAGTGATGGCAAACTTTGAATCGGCGGTTTTTAAAATTAGTTTTGGCGCCGGAACGGCTGTTCTTCTCTTCTATCTAATCATTAACAAAGCTGTTCGGAAAGAGTGAGCCCTCCAGAGGAATTGGTATCTTCCAAGATCGTTCCACCCATACTTTCTAGCCCAAATCTTCCTGAAGCCGAGCAAGCCTTCCTTTCATCCGGGGTTGTTAACCGCTACCAGATCCATCTGGGAGGACAAAAGGACTTGTATTCGGCTCGCCACCGCAAGTCATCGAATAGGACGCATGCGCATTCAAAACACCACTACGATTCTGAATGGAAGTAATGCAGAGGCGTATCCCTCAGACGGGATTTTTTAATGCGAAGACTTCTCCTGTAATTATAGGAATGCGGAAAAAAATAATATAATAAAGTAAATAAAAAGATTTTCCTACTTCTATACATTATGTTTATCATTCTATCAATCACTGTGTTTATCATTCTATCAATCTCCCACTTGGTTAGTACCATGGAGATCATAGGAATACCAAAATTTTCGTATCGTTCCACACCCGGATATGGAGCAGTTGCGAAAAATCGCCCCTTTCACTATTGGAACGTCCCCATCGTAGCAGACACCGTTTGTGGGCGTGACCTGTCGCCAGCTAATCGTTCGCTTCCCAAGTAGGTGTGTCCCAAGGCTCTTATCTCAATCTGTACTTAGGCTAAGGGCATCAAAACAACATAATCCAGAACCGTTTACGATCGACTTTCCGTAAACTCTAATAAGTTTTGATAAAATTCACATAACAAAACCTCAATTGGGATCGATTGATAAGATATATTCATATTTTTTTTATTTCTAATATCTTCTCGTTTCTCTTCTCGTAATATTGATTGCATGCGACTCCAATTTCTGATATATTTGCACCATACAGCCTCCCTTCTAATCCAATACCTAGTATAAAGGCCTGTAGTGAAGATGGTTTGATGATTAATTCAGAGCTTGACTACACTTTCAAAAAAGCGAGATGTGCATTTAATCTACATTTATGTATAGAGGTCTTTGGAAAAACCAGTCTCACTCCCTGGAATGCGCCCCGCATTGACTTCCGTTCAAACCCTAGCGGCGTTTTTGGATGCGTACATGGCTTGTACAATGGCTTGCGATGGGCAGCCGATGTACAAGTCAGTACTTTTATCTTCCCGAACGACTTTAGAATCAAGTAACCGACCCCTAAGCGATAGAAGACTTGGTCGCCTAAGCGGATACCGATTTGGGATTCGATTCCCGGACCATACGGTATGCGATATTGTGCCACTTGCCACCTACGCCCTTCTATAATATTTATCACTTAGCAACTCACTTAGATGATTACTTATTTGATTATTTATTTTAACTCCACTCATGATGCATCTAAATGTGCAGGAGTCCGCACCAATTGACTCCAAAGAACCGAGGCGAAAAATAAACAGTAGGACCTATCTCAAAACAGGTCAAAGGGTGCCACAAATGCAAAAACAACAACAAGAGTACAATCTGCGCCCATTTCAACTGTACTGACAATTACTTTGCACACTCTGCATCCTCCTGATTCCCATGAGTAACTATGAGCTTCTCCCCATTAACTCTAAAATTTTCAGTTCTGCTGTGTCCTTTAGAAGGTGTTCCGATGGTGTGTTTCGTGCTATCGTCTGGGAATGCCCACGATTTTCGTTGATTGATGCTAAGTGTTAATGGGTGGCCTTTCCAGAGCGACATCGCCCCACTTGTTGACCATTCCTTCACGTGAAACGCATGCTCGTGCAAGATCGATCCTCTGCAGGCCATTTGTGTTCTATTTTTTCTCCAATCTATTCACAGTGCAATGCCCAATTACGCTGTTCTGCCTGCTTTACTTGTTCCTTACTATATTTCACATTTCAATAGGATCTCTTTAATCATCACTCGATATCTTTAGCCAACTTACCAACACTTCAAGAAAGAAGCTTCGATAGCTTTGGCCCTTTCAAACGCCCCTCGTAAAGAGTCATTTCGAGATTTCCGGCCCAATAAGGGGGCGGATTTCCAGAGAAATCGGATTCTTCCGGTTGAGTGTATAACGAAGTGACCCCAAAATGGGCATAGGTACTTGAATCCATCAGTAGAGGCCCTCGTTGAAAGTGGAGAAAGCTATCAGTAGTTGGTAATCCTAGTAATTGAGCTACTTTCTTCCTGGCTCTGATGAACGTATGCAAGAGTGTTAGAAAATTGCCCCTGTTACTTTATAAGGGCCCCAATGTACTTGCACATCCCCTGACTCCTTCGCTATTTCACGGCTGAAGTTCGTTTAAGGTTATGCACTTTCAGCTGAATCTGCTGTCTCTCCATGGTCAAGGGTGGGACTAAGAAATGTTCCCTCAGCATGCAGCTCCACCCGTCTACTCCCCTTCCTCTCTACCCCCTTCCTGTCCAACCTACACATCTTATACATGTTCAGCTTGAAGTCACCCGTAAATCCATCAGAACATAGTCGAGGTCGACTACCTTAGCCCTTATGAGATCCTTCCCAGGTGAAATAAGCACCCTTCCCCTCCGCAAACATTTTTCTGTTCCTGTTTATATTGGTTGGTACAAGTCTTCAGGCTGGTATAGACTCCAAAGAACGGCGCACTCTACTGTTCTAGAGATCTCATTCATAACAGCTCTCATTTTGCACCCCTGTTTGCAGTGAAAGCCCTATAATAACGAGCTGACATACTTGGGGACATCAAAAATCGAGCTCATAGCCAAAACAGAAGAACAAAGTATAGTGTGTTTACCCGAAGAAAAAACGCAACTGATGCAGGCAGTCCAGTAGGTATAGGGGAGTCTAAGATGGAAAATAGGCGTGGTGGGAACCTAAGAAATCGATGCCGGGGCTCACTAACTCAACAGGGCCCGACGCTGAACTCAACAGAATCCTATGGTAGACCGCTCCGATCCGTCAACGGTATAGCATGAGACTTATTTCCCTGAATCTATCGATTACGGCAGATTCTCAGCCCTGTTATTTCATCTGAAGAAGGATTTTAATACTCTGGAATATAGGTTTTAACAACAGATCGTGCTTGGTCCTGAAAGGGCCTTCAGAGGCAATCCGTCACTTTCTAACCAGCTCCAGAATGCTTGAAAGCTCCGAGTACTTCTTCAAGGTATTCTAATCCTTCCGTACTCCTTCTCTGCTCCTTCCCATTGAATATCTGATTTTGTATGAGGATGAATAAGGTGGCGATGATGATTACGTTTGCGATTTGGTAACAAATCTATTTTTCCAGACACATTTCATTCATTACGTACCCCATTCCCAGCAACCGGTTTAGCTGTCTGATCGCGCGGCGACCCCTCATGCTGTAGAACATAAAGTATGGAATCGCATTCCAACATGAATCAAAGGCTGGACACAATGTGGGGTCTGCGAAAAAAGAATAATTACATGATGAAAAAGCAGTAACGGGGCAAGGGAACCAGTTAATGGAGTTGGGGGAACAAGAAATGTTCAAAAAGACTGCAGCAATGGGACGAAGTGGGGATGGTGTGAGTCTCGCCTCTGTTGGATCGTACCTCCTCTGAATGAAAGTAGCCCATCGTTCGTCGTCACAGAGCAACCACATAGGTCGACCATTTACCGTCTTTGCTCCTTCTCCACCACTTCAAGCAATCATTTCGCCTTTTCTAGTTTCTTTTCAACGTTTCTTCTCAATGAATCGAAACGTCAGCGAGTATCTCCAGTCGTTGTATATATTTTTTTGCTCGCTACTGAGCTACTGCCCACCTCACCATTTTTTTTCGCCGATATCAGAGTGGTGCATTAACTGCCATCAAATCGGATTATTTGATACCAGACCTCAGAAGCCCACGTGACGCTTCTGACGGATTTTTATGGATTAACCTCAGGAAGCACTTACAAAATGTCATCATGTACGAGGACGGAGGTGGTGTAATGGTGACGAACTATCAGACATGGGTAGTTCGCGCAGTTCGAGTATCAAATCCCGGATTGATATCCGTCTCGGCAAATCAAGCCTTCCTTCCCCCTGGGTCGGTTAGTTGGTACCAGGCTCATGTGGGAGGTTATAATCACCGACTCGTATCGCTGTCCATCGCAACGCAAAACCGGATTAACGAAAAAACTTCATCTCAAAGCTTCATACGTGAATTACCAGCATCTCTTTATTGAACCGAACTTCTATACCAAATCTCTCAATGTTTGAATCGTGTATTATACCCTCGATGTAGAAGTTTCCAAGATATAGATTTTCAAGAGCCTATTTGCTGAAATGGATATTTTCAGATGGGCAGATTAGAGATTTGCATCGATTCATATGAATCTGCCGCCAATGCTGTGAGTGGAGGTTAGTAAAGATTCTACTTGCCGTTATGGGCTGATCCTACCTCCGACTGTCGGCTAGAAAAACAGCCCCAAACTGCTTATAACGCATGTCAGCGGAATTGGGGCTGCTATTCCAGCTAACAGACGAAAGCAAGATCAGCTCATTACGGACTGCTAATCAGTCGATTCTAAACTGGTTGCCACTTACCATTCCCGTTCCGACTATTAAGATTTCCCTTCATGCTACGAAATTTGAGTAGCCTTGTCTACTCCCAAGGAGAAGGGACTAGGTTAATTACATTGCGTAAGCTCGATACAGAAAACAAGTTTTAGAGGGAAAAGGACTAGCAGAGGTCTTCGACACCACTCCTGCCCCTTCTTAACAAGCATTTCCAATTGCACACTTGCCCTTGCTTGTAAAAGTTCAGTACTGAAGACCCAGACGCAAATCTTTACTTTCCCGGCATAATGTGAAAGACAGCGACGTAAAGGGGACAATCTGAAATTCCCCATTTGGTCACCCTAGGAAGTCGCCATGCAGTTTAGCAGGTCTATGAATTAGTCCGGTTGTGTCAAGCTCATCCTAACGAAAAAAAAATACGGGGAAATAAAATTTCGAAGCTGGAAATTTAGAAGGGCGGAAAACGGGCTTGAGTTTTCTTTCATGTAAGGGAATGATCTATCACAGCAAGACTGCGAACAGCAGAGATTAAGTAATCCTTAACACCCACGAATCTTAATGTTAGACGCAATTCGACGGCATTTTCAGGAGCTCATCAACTCGAGGTATGCAGTTCGTTGGCCTTGGGCGGTCTGACACCATCTATAGGTGAGTTGAATTCGATGGAGTTTTCAAAAAGTACTATATTCACGATCGGCTACCGTTACGTTCGCGTTACCATGACTAAAAACTTAAAAAGCCCCGAAAATGCGATCCCGGTTTTGGCGGTTGCTTCAGAACTTTGGATGGGAACAATCCGATAATCCTTAATTGCTTCTTAGCATTCTGCATTGCGTTCATCGAACTCGTCCACAGTCTTGACGTCAGTCCATGGCTGTTCGTCACGCAATGATCTCAGCCATAGATAGGCGCAGAGCAGACGAAGGAGTTAACCAGGGGATAAAGGATCTACACCTCTGGGTTCGCATACGTGACCGTCTTAATTAGACCGGACCGATACTTTCTCTCAACTCTTGCGTTCGGTGCAGGGTACTTTTTCAGTAGAATGTCGCCGCATCCCACTAGAATGTCCAAGTGGGGGAGTTCAGTTGAAAAACACATAAATAACATTTTCCGCTGCCTGAACCTCTTGTTCACAATGCGCTTCCTTTCCAAAACTGAACTTAGACTAACCATATTTCAGTGAAAACTGTTCACCAAATTTCGCACATAAGCATAGCTTTCAATAGCTTACCAAAAACGCTGAACTAATAGTTAAGGTTTGGTCCGCCGTCTGCGAGCCTCCTTCCCGGATATGCCACTGTTCGTTATGATCCGACCACGAGGTGGCGACTTCATCTACACGAAGGACGAGGTCAACGTAATGCTGGAGGACTTGAGAGCGATGAAAAACATCGGAGTCACCGGATTCGTCTTCGGTGCAATGGACAGGTAAGGAGTTCGCATGTCTGGTCTGGTAAGGTAGTGAACAATAGGACAAGGTGACAAGAAGCATGATGACCATTTATACTGCAAGGTAACCGAGTAGGACGAGACCAGACAGGAAGCGGAGAGTATAGGGAAGGGAGTACCCACCACCTAGTGTCCCACATGTCCCAGCCATTAGATGGTTTTCCTACCTGGTTATAGGGACCACCACTGTCCCGGAGCCTGAATTATCGGTGTGATGCTGAATCACTGCATGATGTAGATTATGATATTCAATAAGTGAAATTTAATATTATATATCGTTTTAACCAGCAGAAAAATAAGGGTTTTGGATGCCAATATTCAAAAAAGAAAAATGAATGTGTAAATAGTTTGTCCAGCGAGTGAAGGCTCCATTTCGTGAATATGCTTGCAATTTCTCTCACATTACTTGAAGCTTTACTCAGTGTGGGAGCAGTCTTTTACGATTCCTAACTTTCTTTTCATATATAATGGGTTTATAGAACTTATTAATTAATTTCAGTACCGGAGCTCTTGACGTAGATGTGTGCAAACGTCTAATACAAGCTGCCCGACCATCGCCCTGTACTTTGAGCCGAGTCTTCGATCTCATTAAAGATTGGAGACTGGCTCTGAAGCAAGCCATCGCGATGGGCTTCAAAACCGTTCTTACCAGGTAGGTATGACCGATTCTGTTGAAAACAGTCAAACTCTAACCACTGCTGGCACTCCTATTATAGCCCGAGGCTCACCAACTGTATATCATTGAGAGCCTTGGTCAATTTCAAAAAATATCAGTATACATCAAATTCCAAGTCCTCTCATCTTTGAACCTCGGCATGTCTGTTGTTCTTCAAATCGTTAGTTTTTACTTCTGCCTCGAGGTTTGTAGGTGGAAATATTTATTACGGCCGACGTTTCGACGGACTCGTCGTTTTCAAAGGCCTGAAAGTGGTTCAAAGCGTGTTGATTGTACACTACCCCACCAAGCGCCTCTTCCGCTCTAGCGTTTCTGACGTACCATCAGGAATGCACGAAAAATGCTCAAAATCCGAAAGGTAAGCTCACCTCACTTCCACCGCAAAGTGTAGCCGCGCTACACGGTTAGTACATCAGTAGCGAATGATCTTAGTCCGCTGTCCTTATGCAATATTATTGCGGATCAGCACGATTCGCTGATTATGGAACTAACTCGCAGTGTTGCATAAATGGCAAGAGATCATTTGTGATAGTCACACACTCCTTTCGGCTGTTCATATCTGGATTTCTAGCTAAAATCCAGAACGCTTCCAACGCTTTCCTCGACGATATTTCCGTCTCGTGAGCCAATATCGTACATTTGATGTTAAAGTCATTTCCACCATGCTGCTCCACTCTGTGCTTCCCTAACGGAGTTAACACATTACTGCGCCGTTTACCAGCAAGATGCTCTTTGATTCGTACTGATAAAACTCTTCCGGTTTCCCCTATGTAGCTTGAATTACATGCCTCACATTGAATCTGATAAATTACGCCTACAGAAGCGCAATCTCCATCTTTCCCGTTTGGACATGTAACACAACCTTCTGTCAGGCACTGCTTGTCGTAGAGTCTGTTCCTCACAAGTTGGCGTTTGATGTTATCAGGCGGAATGTTAACCAGAATAACATCATCGCTCAATTGTGCTCGAACAATACACCGTTGTATTGCAGCAGATACCTTGTCAGAGATAAATGGTAAACATAGGGGAAATTTGTTTTGGCGAGAGGTGTTTCTCCTGCCAACTTTGGATCTTCCAGTGTTACTATGTGGTACCGTATAGCCATTCGACCGAGCTATACTTGAAGCTAATCGTCTTGATTCTTCGCGTTCGGTTTTCAGGCCTTTGAAAACGACGAGTCCGTCGAAACGTCGGCCGTAATAAATATTTCCACCTACAAACCTCGAGGCAGAAGTAAATACTAACGATTTGAAGAATATCAGTATACAATAAATGCTCTCACCGAGCCGAAAAGTGTGTTACCCTCAAAAGAATAAAGCCCCACCTGATTCATTCTGACGCTGTTTCGATTAGCCCTCCTCCTCATGCTCACCCGCTTATGGGTTGCCGGCCGAAGTTTCCCTTTTCGGCAAATCTTCTGCGTCTTGTTTGACCAGCTTGACAGAGTCTAGCCATTTTTCTTGTAGAGGATCATCTTCGGGTTTTTCGAAGCCGTCAAACCTTCATTTCTCTGCAATTGAGTATTCAAAGGCAGCATGTAAACATTAGTCGAATAAAGGTGACCACGAGCAGCGACCTTTCTATTCCCCACTCACATTCTGATTCGGTGTGAACAAGGTATAAAAGGAAAGAATTTACAGAGTAAGAGATGGATTAATCTTTCAACAAAATACGCTCACAATTTTCATTTCCACGCAAGCCCTACGGTAGAAGTCGGGGAGTATTTTGGGAAAAGCGGCCACGCCTCAGAGAGAGGCATCATGTCTGAGAAGCGCCTATCGTCATTGTCTGGCCACCTCCCTCTCATTCCTTTTTCATTCTGAATCAGAAAATAAGTGAGAAATAGAAGGCGATTCCGCTGCTGAGAGTTCAGGCCTGGAACATTGACAATTCATTGATTTGGTCAAAGAGGAACTCTGTTGTAACGTTACAGGAACACCAGAACTCTAAGAAACAAGCTGTCTTTCAATTCATTCATTTGAACGTTAGAACTTGATTTATATCTTTTTTGTTCTTACTCAGTGGACAAGCAACAACAGCTGTGGATGGTCGTGACAGGCTGAAGAAAATGAGGGATGAAGCACGAGACCAGATAAATATTATGGCAGGTAATCGCTGATATCAAAAGTTATTACGAATTTTATCACCACACTATTATTTACACTTAACCTAATAGAAGTAAAAATTCCGATATTTTTGAAAATTCAACGGGATCAAGATTCTCAACCTCAATGCTTCTATAAATGGCTCCTTCTTGCGGTCTGGAAAAAATTGCCTTATGAAGTTTCTTTTGTAGGTTCTGGCGTGAATTCGAAAACGCTTCCAACATTACTATCTGAAACTAGTTGTTCATGGTATCATGGCTCTGCTTCCGTCGCTGTGGAATCCAAGGTAAAGGAGCACTACCACTGAGTTTGGTTGCCACCTGTAGGCAGGTTGCCAAATTTGGTGGAACACCAAGAACTTGTTTATTTGTTTGTTTATTACACGCGTTAAAAGAGAGGGTTGTAATAAAGAGCTGAAAATCTGGAATTGCGAAAGTAGGCGAAGTGAATGTTCCAGATGCCGAAAAGCCGAGTTAAAATGGGCTCCATGGACACAGATGTTCAACGAGTGACTAGCAAGGAAGAAGTGCGAACAATGCGAGACCTCATAGACCAATTCTTTGGAAGTGGACCTATTGTGACACCATATTACTAGATTTGTTGATGAAAAACTCTTACCATTCCTATGCTGACACTTAATTTTCTGTTTTTTTTT